GCACTTGTGAGACATCACTGAACTGAAAATTTTACGGTCTTTCCATAAATCGGAAAATCTAATATGGCAGCCATAAGAAAATTGAATGTTAAGAGATAACAAAAGACGATTGGATATGGATTTTCCTAGAGCTGAATTAAATGATATGATTTTTGTACCGGGTGAGGCGAAAACAAATACTTTGTTGGCAGTAAGACTTTACAAGGAGAAGTTCCCTAATGTCTAAGATGTATACCAACTTTTTAGTGTTTAATGAAACCGGTTGGTGTTAGTTGTAGTATTAAATATTAAACGGAAAGTGGTAAACCGGAATGCTACCAATGAGGAAAAAGAATTGTAAATGTTGCTTCAAGTTTAAGATAATCCCCAGGTGAGAAGCCGTCAAGTAGCTAGCTTATGTGATACATCCCAATCTACCGTTCATCGCACTACTAGAAAGCATAAATATCATCCCGTCCATACCAAGAACTTCTAGACCGTGATTTTCAACACCCGTTATAAATGAAGCAATAGAGGGCGATCCAAATTTTTTGTCTAAAATCATGTTTTCCGATGATGCTGTTAATCGTCATAATATGCATTATTATTCAACCGTTAATCCATCAAAATCCGCAAGGCAATTATAATTACTATTAATTTATAAATTTTTGATTGTGATTAAAAGTCACCCCTTTAGTATTTTCTCTGTATAAAAAGTTGCGGATAACGATGAGCTTTTTAATGAAAAAAATTAAAAAGAGAGAGGTAGGTTTTTAGCAAATTATTGTAATAAAGTTTTTGTTTTTGGTGTCGATGAAAACATAAAATACAGAAAAGGTTGGTTTTGATTTTAATAGGCCAATTTGAGAAAAGAGTTTTTTTTAACCTAACAATTAGACTTAAGTTAATTAATTAATTAGTTAATAATCTAAACCAGCGTCCCAGCTTAGAAACAAGTCTTCCAAGTTTGCAAATTGCAAAGAAATTTTAAAACCATCTTTGAATCAAAGAAATTTAATAGAACGGTTATAGAATGAGACAATTGACTCCGTCAATATTCGCACCATGTTCTGGAATATCCCGTGCAAAATGAAACAATGAAATTCTTGATTTTATCGAATTGTCTCTCTAAATGCGCCGAATACATCGAAAAACATCGAAAACCTCCACACCCGGTAACGGCAAACGCGTAAAACGGTTTTCAGTTATTTATATTGCGTCGTGTTGGTTTGGTTAGATTATTTAAATATATCGCGAAGTCAATTTAATTGAGCGTGTTACCCTTTTATTCCATTTGCGAATAACTCTGATATATTAAACACCACTCGGGCTCGATACGTTTCCTATAATTTCCTCAACAGCTTGGATCATTTTTCATTCAATTTCGATTTTTAATTAATTTATTTTTTTTACACATAAATATCAAATCTCTGTGTTCGATTACGAGGAACGTAACGCGGATAACAAAACTGGAGACATGATCTGAAACACTCAGTCGATAGAGAGTGCAGAAACGCTTTGTATCTGTCAACTTCCAGAGAGATTCACTCGATATTCGCTTCAACGGTTTAACTGACGTGCTGTATCTTCCAACGTTTAAATCATTCCGAACCTGACGTGAATTACAAATAGACGCGTTTTGATATTAACATTCGCGAAAATCGGCGTTAACTTTTCAAATATGTTGCGTTTTCGTTCGACTTTACATTGTCGAATTTGAATGGTCGCTTATAATATTAAATGACAATAAAATTGTACCGTTTTTTGTTGTTAAATATATGTTCATATGCATCCAATGCATGAAAATAAATCAAGACTGTTTCTCTAAAAAATAATTTCAAAAATCACTATTGTCATTTTCCAATTTACACAGCCAAATGGTAAATTGCAAAGCTCACTTAGATGAGAAACGACTATGTACGAGGTATGTTCAAAAAGTACGGTGGCTTTTAAGTTTTATCAAAAAGTATTTGTTTATGTTGTCCCCTTCAAGTCATAGCCCCCAGATATAATACACTAGTGCCAACGTTTTTTCCCTGGAAGCCCTTGAGTTCTTCCAGAGATTTTTACTTTATCTCCTCAATCGTTCCAAACCTTGTTCTTTTCATGGGTTTCTTGCGTTTTGGGAACAGGAAAAAGTCGCACGGGAGCATATCCGGTGAATACGGTGGCTGAGGCATGATTGCGGTTTTGTTTTTGACCAAAAAATTAGACACAAGCAACGATGAGTGAGCAGGTGAATTATCGTGATGCAAAGATAACCAAAACTAAGCAGTTTCGGAACAAATTTTGCTGCTACACGTTTCATGCCCAAAACTGCTCAAAGAATTGCATGGCACGAGCCAATAGAGATGCGGACGTCTTCAGCCACTTCGGTAATAATGATTCGACGATTTTTCAACACCATTTGTTTCACTTCTTCAACGCTTTCATCAGTTATTGACGTACTGGGGCGTCCAGAGTGAGATTCGTTATCGGCGTCTTTTCGGCCATCTTGAAACAGCTTGTAACATTTCAAATGTTTTGCAGCACTGTATTCCATTTCTTACACAAATTTTATGCAAATTCTTTGTTCCTTTCTGTTTGTTCCTTTGTCTTTCTGTCTTACCAAAAAAGTGACCGTGCAAACTGGCTGAAACTGGGAACATATGTTAGGGACATGTGTACCAACATAACAAAAAAGAAATATTGAAGATCGATTTGAACACACCTCGTACATTTTCCTTTAAATTTTATAAATAAACGTTGTCTAATATGACAGACAAACAATTTTTGCCTCCATAACATATTTTGCAACAAGCTTAATAAAAGCCATCTTACGACTGACTAAAGTGCCGAGAATGTCCGAAATGTCTCGCGACCGTGGATAAAGAAATTGACGTCTTAAAGTGACATTTTTCGCACGCCTGATCAGAGTGGGAAGTAGGTAAAATTTATTTAAATGAAGATTGAAGTTGTTCATTTACATCTCCTCTTCAACGCTATTTACTGGAAGAAGTTTTGACTACTCCACACATTCGATGTTTTTCTTTTAAATTTTTGAATCCACATTTCTCCGTTTAGGTTTTTGATACTATTACAGCAAAATTTTCAAGAATTCTTGACAAAACTTTTTCTGTTATTCCAGTTACAGGAGCCTCCAAATTATATAAACTTCCTACGCATTTCAGGCGTCATTGGTTAGTTTTGGTTTCGTTTCGTTAGCCAGATTTCTCTCTTTTCGTGTCTAGATATTCAGTTTATATGTTTAGAGCGACAGATTTTAAAGATATTTGTCATCTATCGATGAAGTCCATATTGCTCTAATAGTTTAAAAAGGTCAAATTGCATCAAAATAAACTGGCATTAGAAGCTCAATGAAACAATAGCTTTATTTTTTCTTTCCAAAATAAAAGAAGCTAAATAATTGAACAGATAGCGCCATTATTATAATTATATTGACGTATATTATTTCAATTTCCTGCTATAATTCAAGATTTATCTTTAAAGAAAATCATTTTAGGAAAAATCTTTGACTTTTTCCATAATCTAATCTATACACGCAAAGAAAAAACGTTGTTAAATTAAAAACGCTAACAATTTAATCAAAATTGGTGCTTTTTAATAAATCAATAAGACGCTGTATGATTCTATAATGTCTTTTTGAAACTAACATGTACATGATAATTTTTATTACTTATTCTTACGAACAGCATTCAAATTATAATGACAGTAATAATCAAAATAGGCAACACAAAATATTATTTTAAATGTTTAAAATAATATATTTTTTCATTGGAATTAAATTTGCCTTGACTTTAAATTAATATTGTAAGTATATGTTTACGGTTAAAATAAGACGAACATATTTTTTGCAATCACACTTAATTACTTAGGTTTTGGTAAATAAAATTATTATTATTTAAGTGTGGTATTTTACCCATTCTTGGTTACAGTATCCTGTATTGCTTGTTTGCTGAGTTATTGTTAAACCAAGAAGAAGGAAATATTACAAGTGGACTACCGAAAAGGAGCACACGGACCCTAATGGTAGCTTTATCTCTTTGTTCTATAGGTGGGAAATTATATAGTCATCTCATCTCTCATAACAGAACTGAAGCAAATAATAATTTGTTTTAAACATAATTCTGTTAAAAACAAATACGAAATACATTAAATATAGAAAAAAGACTATACTAATAATTTATAAACAAATCATTATCAAAATATTTACAAACGTGCCTAAATTGTTTTATTTTGATTAGTTAAATTGTAGAAAAAAAATTACAAGGTGATTTCTTTTGAATTTTAAAACGCATTATTTTTCTGCCTTAAGGCTAAGTTGCATCATTTACTGTCTCAAAATCTAGTTTTATATATATATATATATATATATATATATTAATTATTAAAATAATGTAGAAGCACGCGTTGTATTCCCTAACTCATTTAGGCATAAATTTTGATTACCCTATGAATTTGCAAATGCACATTTTTCTATTCGACATAAAATAACAATAAACCTTGGAAACTGCATTACCTTATCTCAAGAACTAAATATAGAACCTACACAAAGCTCACTTACTATGGAGGGAGTAACAATAGCAGTGATTAAGAGCTAATTCTCGCAGATATTGAGTTTGACCACAACCTAGAGTCACTTTCAAAAATGTATTTTTCGGTCCACTGTGATTATGATAATTGGAAAAAAAAAACGTGGTAGTTATGGAAAATTAATTTGTGAAGTGGAGCAGAGAATTTGTAGTCTGAAATTTCCATTACTATATTTGATAAGGACTGCAAAACTGCAACTATTCTCCGATCGACAACACACCGTATAATATCAATCGCCAAGGGAATTATAGACCGACAGAAGCATTAAAACCGTCAAACTCAGAAATTGTAATACATTCATTATAAAGTTCGCAGGCGTCTGTTAAACGTAGCTTCACCCTGAAGGGTCTGGCAATTTCCTACCTTAGGGATAGTTCAAAACTAGACGATCTTACAACAAGAGAATATCTATTAATTGCAATACTTACGTCCCTCGTCTGTTATTATTAGCAGGGTTGTGTTTGGACCATAGCCTTCGGGGTTGAACACACTCAGTCCAACGTGATATTTGGTGAACGGAAGTAACTCGCTGATGACGTGTTTCTGCAAACCGAAATACAAAAATATTGACATTTCTGAACAGATTCTGGCGATTTTGATATCCTTGTCATTATTAAATTGATACTTTTTTTATTTTCAGCCATTATATCTTTTATTGAACACCTCGTCATAAAAGTACGTGGTCCATAATAATTAACTGCCGTTTGTCGGTAACAAGTTTCAATCTAATTAGTCACCTTATCTTTGCTTAGCGTGGCAAATGAAATTTTTTGGAAAAACAGGAATCCCATACCAAATCTTTTTTGATTAATTTATTTTTCATTGCACTTTAAGGCAATTTCTTTTCATTTTTTAACCATCTAGAAGTTAATATTTCTATTACCATATTTCATTTTCCACCATTTACGTTTCCTTTTTTGTGGATTATGCAGTTTCTACCATTTCTGCAGCATCGTCTGAGCAACTTATATTGATAATGAATGAAAGTAAACCTTTTCAATACGGGATTTATTTTTTATTTGTACGCTTCAATGAAAGAACAATCCAACAGAAAAGTGTGGTAACATTTCTGTTTACTGGTTTGTCATATGGACGCTCCGCGATCAGGTTCGTTTCCCCTTTTCCCCTTTTTCCTATGTCTATTCATGTCCCAACTACGCTTTGGTTTGTTGGGGAGGTTCCCAACATGCGGAGCCTTTAGGATGCAGTAACGCATTTTACGGACTATACTGTTTAAGCGGTGGAATTTTTCATGTCGAGACCTATTTCCACAACACTCTTTATGTAAAAACTAACTCTAATCTTTATATGCCCTCAAGAAACGCAGACATTCAGTACAATTTAAGACCGAATCTTAACATAAAAATACCTACATCAAATAGTCTCTTTGTTTTGACTGTAAAAATTTGTAATAAATTGCTCATGAACTGAAGGAGATAACTAGTCAAACAAAATTCAAATGCACTCTTAAAGACATATTGCTACGCCTCGCCTATTACAATATTAAGGATTTTCTTTCTTGTGATACCTTTTAAGACGAATGCGTTGTTTGCTATTGTTTATACATTTGTTATTTATCTAACATTATTACTCATTATTATTATTATTATTGTTAATTAATGAATTATACTAAGATATCCAACACTTGTAACAAATCTTATGGAAATAAAGCTATCTTTATCTTTAATAACTGGATATTGCACTTATTGACACTGCAAGGCCCTATTTCCTTGAATCCGCTCCCTCGCCCCAGTGTCTACGCGCTAGGGTAATAACTTTTGAAAAGTACAAATCGGGGCCAAAATGTCGTAAAATTTATCGGTAATATGTTATCTAATGGGATAACTAAAAATGTTATGCCCCTAGCAAATTTTGAACTAACTGGGTGAAACGATCTTAGGTTATTGGTCGATTTATATTCGAAAGCTCGCAAAAATTGGAGTATCAAAGTGGCAACACCGTCCAACATAGTTACAATTCTACGCGAGTTTTTAGATATAAATTTATCGGCTTGTAACCGGAAATCATTAAACTCATAACTACTTTCTTTTAACTGCCTTTAAAATGACGTAGTAATGTGAAGGAAATTGTTCGGGAAAAATCTAATTATGTTTTATAATCAGATATAAAACTCTAATTTTATCTCGCGGAAAATCGTAACCGTTTGCCCAAAAAATTCAACGTTGCCAGTGTTTTAACAATCATAGCAATAACTCTTTGGAAATATCTTTCTTATTTAATATTGTTGTCTCATAGAAATTTTTTATAAGAAAAATGTGCATTTCAACATTGATATGATTTTTTTTATGGAAATTATTGGCAAGGGTTTTCTTTTTTTTTTCCTTCAATATTATAGTTATTAGTAAATTTTAAACTATCAAAATTGAGGGCTGCCAAACCTTTTAATATTTCTGTTTATTATGTGTAACAAATAGTAAAATACAAAAAAAAAACAAAAACAATTTAATGTCTTCGGTTGTAATTTTACGTGTTATTAGATAGAGACACAAGTTCAAAAGAAGTATACAAAAGCTTGTTATCAAGATCATTTTTGGGGCTCCTGCAAAAAAAGTATGAGGAAAATATACGTATTATAATTATTAGTACGCATATTTTCAATAGACTTATCGGTAACAAGTTTGATAAACCTGTTAAAAGTGTTAATCGAAATATGGGTATAACATTTGAATGAAGTGTTTTCTTTGCGTAGAAAATCTTAAACGAAGTTTTCCTCACAAGAGTCATGTAGTCGTAACGTAATTACTTAGCGTGTTAAGACGGAATTGCAAAATTACTCAGGTAGTTCGTGAATACGACGAACTTAAATCTCAACTGTTTTTTTAAAAAGTTACGGGAAACGCCTGTAAGGATTCCGTTGAAACTTCTGTAAGTTAATCCTGCGATGCCCGCCTGCATCTCTCGCGAAATAAATTTGGCCTCGTTTTGCGTTAGTGTAGTAATATTTGGTTTACCGTGTGTTTCATTAAAAATTGCCCTTGAAATAACTAAAGATGTTTCATTCTCGGAGAAACAACAACTCGGCTCATTCCTGTCAAAATTTTGGTCTACAAGGAATCCTCGACAGTCACTTCCAAAAAGTGGGAGGATTAAAATGATTAAAACAGTCAAATTTAATATCTGTCCAATAGTTTTGCCAAAAATAATATTACAAATAATTATAACAATAATTCATTAATGAAAAATTACTTGCAATACATCTAATTAGTTTCACCAATAAAACTTTAGTCCGCAATAGTATAAATTTGTACGTAGATACAGAACGGTCCTAACTACATCGTTTCACAATAAAGTCCCATTTAAATAGCATATTTACACTACAATAGACAATTAATACCCAATTCTTCCAGCATCGATTGTTTATAAATAAAACTTGCTGGCTTGAACGCGACTCTGTACCTGCTTATATAGTTTTTGAGGGTGGTGGATCTAAAGGACCGGCATGAATATTTTCCAGAAATCTCTGAACATCTTCGATCCGTCAAAGACAAAATTTCATTTGAGATACCAGGAGTTTGCAGCATTCCAAGAGGCGAAGAATACTTTGGAGAGACAAGACGAAAAATGTCAGTTAGGCTCAAAGAAACAAACTCATCAGCACTTGCTAAACACAATCATAAAACCTGAAAAATCCGAGAAGCCAGACAGACCAAACAATCTTCACCCATGTTATCCCAAGCATAAAAAAATATAAAAAAATGCTCTTTTGCTCTGAAATTATTTATTTTGTTGCACTTAAGAATACATTACATGTGTCAAAAAAAAATAAAAACTCGAAACATACAAAAAATACTGGTGTGTAAACGAACCACTGGGAAAAAACATTAAATAATGTTTTGAGGCACATAAGATGTAATATATAATTTATACATAAATATACAAAAAAAAAATTCAAATTCGACAGAAAACAACTAAAAGTAGATTGTTTCCCATATAGAACCTGATTCGATACAAAAATGCGTATAATGTTTTATGGTGCGCGAGAGCGCAACTGGTAACACCCGGTTTCATTTTTGGTTATATTTTACAAATCATGAAGTATGTAAATGCACATTACACTTATTACAAACGTAAATTGTGTGGCTGTGGCAGATTCTATACCTCCGTCGGGCTTTATTAGCTTGAACAATCATGAGGGCACCTTGATTATCATAACGCACTTCATCTATGATAGGTGTAAGATTTCTATCAGTTTTTAAAATCAAATCAATCACTTCGTCATCAAATAACAAAAAATATTTGAAGCGGAGTTTTTCCAGAAAGCCTATTTTTTAGTTCCTCACATGATCTAAATTCATCGGTGTGTGAGTGTACTCAATCTGACGTTTCTTCCATTTGGCAGTAGAAGCAAGCCTGTCGTTTGCAGAAAGCATACGTCTTCTTTTGAATTCCAGGGTTTCATCATCTGATGAGTCCGATTCAGTTTAAGTACTTGATGAATTACAGGGCTGTTGAAGGACAGCTGTATCATTCGGTGTATGTAACTCGAAAGTTCCAACTATATCAGTTGATTCCCCAAAACTCACGATCTCCTCCATAGCCGCCTCAAAGGCACAAGGCACAAACTAAAACTAAAGAACACGCTAATTGTTGGATGTTTATTCTACATGCGCTGACTTGTGTAGACTTGCAATAACAAAGTTTTGTTTCACAGATAAAACCAGTCCTTGGGTGTTATTGTGTTTGTCCGACTTTAACGACTGGCAAAAATTGCTTAATTTACTCATTGATATGTGGAAAAACCTGGGCAGCTGTCTAAGTAAAAAAGACGCGAGCTCATTGAATAATAGAAAAAAATATAAAACCAGTGGTGCATTAACCCACCAGTAAATATTTTCAAAAAATAAAACGTAATCAATATAGTATTTCCAATGTATGTTTTCTGCTATCTCATCTACATGCTATAGACTTTAACAAAAATGGCAAATTTTTTTTTTACTATTTTGGATTTACTTGAAAATGTGATACAAATTTACGTTCCGCTTTTATTAACTTTTGAATTGATGTATAAGATCTTTCCTTTACACATAAATTAGCGATTTCTACGGTTTTATGTCCTTTAGTAGTGATAATAATAAAATATCAAAATGGATGCGGAAAAATGTTTCCTGGATGTGACAAAAAAAAAACATAGAATAGGTGGTGCATTAACGCCCCACTGGGACAGAATGGGTTAACCGCCACTCAGGTCTTTACCGTTCACCAATATGGGATGGGATCAGTTAAGCTTTGACGAAGCCAACAGGATAAATGGCGAAACGTCAGTAAGTTTGATTTATAAACAACCTACTCAGAAGGTATCCAGAAGATTTGTAATTAGCAGAAAATTTCAATTTTAGTTTAATTTAGGTAAATTACAAGTATATCTATTAATGAATGGACGAATGAAGGAATTTCTTTACTAAGTTTTCCATTTGTCCCTTCTAAGAATTTCTTTGAAAATATAAATACGGAATTTTTAATAATTTTGTAAATTAGTACTGGAGTGTTATTAATATTTAGACGAACATGCCGGCTTTGGCCTA